AAGAGATCATTAAAACGGATATGTAAATCCAAGGAAAGAACTATGAAAATATTCCAATATCAAACAGAGCCTTTGAAATTCACAGTTAAAAAGAAGGTGTAATAGCTACAAAATAGATCCTTTGATGTGATTTAGTTCCTTTGGGCAGAGGTGTAAAACCACCTCTGCATAGCTGTAGTGGCTGGTTGTAAATCTGAATTAGGAATTTTTTTCATAAGAGCACCTAAACAAAGTTTAAAAAAATATTAGAAATTATAGAGTTGATACACATAGAGAATTAAACTTGCACATTGAGACTTACAGAAGATCACTTGCTCGAGGCGGCTGTCTTGCATTTGAAGTTTTGTGCCATGGGTCCCTTTCCACGACATGATCCTTGCCAGGTTTCCCCCAATCAAAGGGGGGTTCATGTTTCCCAGCAAAAATCGGACAGCATCACCCTTATCGGATCTGTTGAGAATGTTCACGAACAGCCAATTCATCTAGGAACAAAATATACATGTTTAAGTTATGTTATGATGATACAGTTATGATGAACTTTGCAGTTGGGTACATAATGTGTTACTGCAACACTTACAGTTTGATTGAAGGGTACGTCCTCGGTTAAAAATTGTTCAAACATCTCAAACGCTGCCTCATTGTTCAGGGGGAGTGGCTGCAGATTTTTAGGCCGTACTACCTTCTCCTCTTCTGGCATGAGAGTTGATGTGATGCATGCCATGTCCAGGGCTAACATGTCCATCTTACTGGACACGTCTTGCAGAAGTTGGATGAAGACGTTAATTTTAACAGTAATATCTGGAATTAAAAAAAAAAGGGAACCATTAATTGTCACCATAATAGAAGACCGATACGAATGAATAATAGGAAACTAAGGGAACTCACATCGGTTGTCTGCAGACTCTGAATTTAAATCATGCATGAGTGAAGAAACCTCATTTCCAGAAGCTCCCATGAAACTTGTTCCAGCACAATCCTGTGGCATGTCTCTACTTCTCACTCTTTTCTCTGCCAGGGCTTCATCCCTTTTACGATCTCTCTCCACTTCATCTTCTTCCCTGGAGTCTGCAGGACAAGTATATTATTTTATTAAGTTAAATATGAGAAAAATGAACACAAATAAAGTAAGACCAACCTTCTAATTCAAGCCATGAATCCAACCCATCTGATGACACATCACCAGTTGGAATTTCCGAAACCTGGTCCGACAAGGGAAGGTTTTTAGGTGTTACACACCAATTTCGCTGGGCGCGATACATATTGCAGGGGACATATGTAGATTAAGATTGGCACCGGTTTTAGCTGCCCATACTATGTTTTTCGTTTGTTTTGGACGATTTTTAGTAAGAAAACATCATAAAAGCAGCAAAAATGTGATCTTCAAATGCCTATATCTCCGGAACCGTTTGAGCTACACCGCCCAGATTTTGCACAGAGGTAGTCCGCATAGATACCTTAATCGTCTAAAAATATGAGCAGAGTCGAAAAAAATTGTTGAAATGGTCCGAAATCCAAGGCGAAATCCAAGTTAGGAAGGTGCACATTGTTTGTGACATTTTTTCCGATGCTTTTCGAAAAAAATTATACTTCACGATAATTTAGTTACCAATTCGGCCTACCTCTGTCCAAAATGTGGGCGGTGTAGCTCAAACGGTACAGGAGATATAGGCATTTAAAGATCACATTTTTGCTGCTTTTATGATGTTTTCTTACAAAAAATTGTCCAAAACAAACGGAAAACATAGTATGGGCAGCTAGAACCGGTGCCAATCTTAATCTACATATGTCCCCTGCAATATGTATCGCGCCCAGCGAAATTGGTGTGTAACACCTAAAAACCTTCCCTTGTGAGTATCTGTGATGGTACACTAGGGGGGTTTCTGCAAAAAACATAGGAGGATGAGAAACAAAAAGATTTAAATATTACAAACGGGATAAGAATTGTTACTTACTCTTCAAAGGTGAGTTTTTTGAAACTAAGTTCTGCTT